AAATGGACCAATACACATGATACATGAAATAATGCATACCGATATAGCTGAGAGTTGGATTTTTTTTATATCAATTTGTTTAACTTCATTAATTCTTTTTATATCGATTGGAAAGGACCAAAGCTTTCATTCACGGTCAGGATTTGACTATGCTTTAGGTTCTTCTTGGTTAAATCTACTCTTGAGCGTTTGTATTAGATTCGGTTTTTGAAATATTTTTACATCGGACATCACTGAGAATACATTTATTGTCAAAATGATTAACTTGGTAACATTAATGTAATAAAGAAAATAATGATAATTATGATTACAGTTTAAAGTCTCAACTAATCAGAAGAAGAGTTTTTATGCAACTAAACAAATAGTTTCATATCTTGGGACTGGAGAATTATGCACTTTTCAATGAAAGTTTGATTTTCGTAATTGCAATAAAAGACTTTTGATTCTTTTTAAACTGCTCATCGTATTCCTTTACACATTTAAAAACGATTCATGCGTTTTGATCATAGCTGATTAGTTAGTCTTTATGATTTTAGTAGCATTTGAATAGCAGATAATTGATTTGATGTTGACATAAACCATTGTTTCGTCCAAAGGGAAATTTGAACAATTCTAGCATAATACTATACATTTCTACAGGTGATAGTATTTAAAAAAATGGCAGAGGCGGATTTAGGGGGTGGCCTAGGCCCCCCCCCTTTTTGGGAAAAATTTGGTTGATTATATAGGGAATCACTGAAACATGACTGGAGCGGGCCCCCTCTTAGGCAATCAGTGGGCCCCCTCTTATGAAAATTTCTGGATCCGCCACTGAATGGTGCAACATAACCATATCCCATAACCAGAATAACACGTGCAATATAATATGTCTTATGACACACACACAAAATCATCCAGAGTTGAACATATTTAAGATCGTAGATTAATGAGTATACAAGATGGTAATCAGCAAGCACTGAGGTAATTCCTGACTTTAAAATGCATTTCCATAATCTTACAAAATAAACTAGAAATACTTTCAACTTCTTACATATTGCGATATAAAATAATAATTCGCTCAGTGCTGTTTTTTACTGTAAAAGCTTTGATTTCTATTGGCTCTTATTTTTCCATGTCCATTTCAACATTGTGTTGGTCTATCAGTTTTTCATATAGTATAATTTTATAAGAAATATATTCTAAATCAGATTTTTTTTAACATGATATCTTTTTCATCTAGGTAAAAGTTAGTAGTGATTATTTGTCATGTGTTAACACCAGTTCTCCCTAAGGATCAAACTCATGAAGACATGAGTGTTCACAGATTTTTAAAAAAAATTGTAGGGACACTTCATCTGGCAATAGTAATTCAAAAATGTGTTCAGATCTGAAAGAGTTGCTATGGTTGCTATGGTAACATCATGTCATATTTCTAATAATGTAATTTAGACTAAAAAATCAGTTTCTTGATAAAAGATACAAATTGCAAAGACATTGTTCAATTAAATGAATATGCACTAAATAAATAATATTGAAATGGTCATATGAATATATTTATTTGTCTTCATTTACCTTGGAGGTCCGATTGATAGTATGAGAGCTCATTGTATAGGACCCTTCGATGTTTTTCTTAAAAAACTTAGGAATTTTCACAGGAAAAATATATTAATTGCACCAAACATCATTAACTGTAGTATAGATATTTTAAAATAAGCAACCAAAGACAATCAATTAAGAAAAAAAAAATTGGTGGGGTAAACATTATTTTTTTTACAATAACCATTGAAATCTTTCAATTAAGCATCATTTTTGTCAGATAGTTACTTCCCTTTTATTGCCTCTTCTAATAAGAAGCAAAAACAATCCATAGCCATAACAACATAACAGACGACACAAGATGGTAATATGTATGCACCTAGTTTAGAAATAATCAGATAAGAGTGAGATGAATTGTAGTTTCAGTTTTTTTGACACATCTGTGTGTTGTAGTAGTTCTTTTGAAAGCCTCTGTGACATAGATAGGGAAACATCAGACATATTATTGTCAGAAGTTGGTCTGCTTTTCTGTCAAAGAACAAGAAACTTTTCAGTTTGCAATGTTCATTTGGAGAAAATGTTGGTTAAAAACCGGTCTAAGAATAAATCTGTTCGATGTGCTATTCCTACACTGCTTTCACACCATAAGAAGACAATTCCAAGGGCGGAGAGAAACATAACAAAGGATGCAATGATGAAGATCCACAGCAGTACTGGTATTGTACTGGCTATTGGAACCCGTAAGTATTATAAAAATTCAACACCAATCAATTTTTGGCTGATCAAAATATTCAAATAATAATATATATGGATGATCTGCATTTTAAATAAATATTTCTGACCCCATTTCATCTTGCAACGCCAACACGGCAACAGATCTTGAAGAATCACCAAAAATATTTTCGGAAATTATGAATGAACCGACAGTGATACTAACACTTATTAAGATACTAGATGATAAATTGTAAAACAGTAGTTAAGGCTTCAGCGTATTGATTAACACACCTGACAATACTTCCACAAACATAGATATAACATTTTTTTAGAACAAATTACCTCCCTTTAAAAAATTGTTAGGCTAACAAAAGTTGTTGCTGCCTCCCTTAAATTTTGTTATATAAAAATATTCTGACTTTTAACTGACATAAAATATATTGAGCAAACTTCAAACCATTGCATTTGATAAAAAAAATTATTTTTAAAGAAAATTTTGCTAGAATATTATTCTAGCATGCAAATATAATTTACCTTAAAATAGTTTCAGATAAAAAGTATATTATAGTTAAACTTCCATAGATGTGATTATGTGCAATTCTAATGAAACATATCATTATCTGCATCACAAAACAGTGAGTTGATGAGTTTCACTGATAAACAATATAATTGCTAACAATACCATAGCATTTGGCAAAGCCATCAAGCAATTAATCTGTCTTCTGTATTATATAATGAATAAATCCTTGTAGAGTTAGTATAATTGCACTCAACTATTAACTGAAACACAAAAAGCTTAATTAAATTTATTTGTTGCGCCTCCTTACATACTATTACTTTTGGGCTAATCCCCCCGCCCCCTATATTTTATGGAAATTTTTGATAAAAATGTGTAAAGTCCAGATATTCTTTGGTAAATCACCATTAAGGAAGCAAATTCCCTTATTAAATAATTTTAAATCATTAACATACTTAGTGCTTTTACTTTTTGATTTTTTATTGCAATTTTATGTATGTGCATATAATATTTTGAACTTTAATACAATAAGAAGCAACAATTTATCAAGTCAACTTTCAACACTGCTGAGTTTTATTGCTTATATTTATTAACTTTCAATAAAATGTATCAGAATATATTATATATGTTTCTTAAATTATTGAGTGTAACATGTTTTTTTTTTTTTTTTACAAACAGCTATCTGTTCAAACTGCAGAAAACACTTATCATCAGGCAAACCAGATGAACATGTTGAAGTTTCAGTGCCAAATGAGCAAATCCCTGTAGAGCCATTGTTAAAGGTATTTTGTATATTATTATTATAGTATATTATATATATTGATAAATAATTTTTGATTTAATATAATTGCATTTTATGCTATTAAGACAACATTAATTCAATTAGAAAACCTTCTGATTAAGTATTATTATTAGACCAAAACATATAGTAAAAAATATGGATGAGCTTTAAAAATACTTAATAATGTTATCAATATTTTATACCAGACATAATGACATAAACTCAGTATTTGGTTGTATCAGTTTCGCTTTTGATATTTATTTACTCAATAATCTTGATATTTGAATTCATCTGGAACTTGAAAGAATTAGTGAATGAATTGATGTAGATATTCAAAGAGACAATCATACCACATCTTCTTATTAATATATATATGTATTTCTTAAAGTATCTTTGCTTCAAAAGTATTACAGTAACAGTACAATAGAATTGTGATAGGATTGCAAATGAGAAAACTCACCACTTCAAACCAAATGTCTGATAAGAACATTATATTTAGTAAAGGTTATACTATAAGGCTTTCAACACAGAGCAAAATATTACATACAAGAAAAATAGACAGATTTAAATAAAACATATATATATATATATACATATATATGTAAATGTTTTATGTTTGTCTGATTTTACTCTATACCATTAAACTAGTTAAGGTGGCTGGGGCGTCTTAATTAAAATCCATAGAATATTTTAATAATTTGTCAAAATGAAGTTTTTATCATGCCTTTTTCAAAAATATAATAAAAAGTATAGGTCACTGGACTTTTTTTCACGCTACAGGTTGTGCATAATTGTCAGATTTTGTATAGATTATGCATGGAAAATCCAATTTTGTGTGATAAAAAGAAAACTACATCTGTCCATAGAATGTTAAGATAAAATGTGAGAAGATAGCTCTTATAACATGCTTTCAGATAAGAAAAAGAAAAAATGGGGTTACCGAACTTGTTTTCTTGCTGCATATTAAAATAGGTAAATTCACAACACTTTCTATTATAAAACTACTTTATCTGAGTTATCTCCCTACTATCTAAGTTATCTCCCCTTATTTGGCAAAGTTGAAAGAAAAATGAATCAAACACAAATATGGTGTTTTTTTTTAGAAATTATACAGCCCGTAAATATGATAAAACACATAATTTTCTATATTTACATTAAAAGTCTTACACATGAATTACATACTACTCTCAAAATTTGCACATTTCATTAAAGATCTAGACCAATTGTTATCTGCTTCTTCAAAATCGAAGATGGAGGAAAACACCTGAGCTACCTTAATGTAAAAATCAATAGCATTAAACATAAATAATAATGAAAACTGAAAAAATGAATATAGCACAGACCTTCTAGAAACCCAAGGCAAAAAGGTTCCTTGTCACGTGCAGCCAAGTCAAGTTTTTCATGAACAATACCAATAGCAAAACAAATATGTGAATAAAATTTTGAGTACAAATATGTAGAGTTTTTAGTTCAATTATGTTAATGAAGCTCTCATTTCATTATCACTGTTATATGTAATTTTATCTTTTCAGATTGACTATGACAACAATTTAGCTTTAAACATTAATAGAGAGAAAAGAGAAGACAAATGTTATAGTTCAGATTCATGTAAAAAACTTTTGAATGATCACCAAAAGGTACTTTTCATTTTAACATTATATCAGATTATCTAATCTTTAACATTAACCAATAAATTTTAAAATATTGAATGGAAGTGTATTGGATTAACACAATAAGATGAAGTCATATCAATGATACTACATAACCATTACAGAGAAGAAAAAAAATAAACAGACACATATATAAACAATACTCATTTAAGATTTTATGATTGTCAGTCTATTCATATTATAAGTTTCCAGAAGTTTTCTCTTGCATAAAATTGAGAATGGAAATTGGGAATATGTCAAAGAGACAACAACCCGACGCAAGAGCAGACAACAGCCGAAGGCGACCAATGGGTCTTCAATGCAGCAAGAAAATCCTGCCCCTAAATAAAATTGTGTACTAGTATATATAAAACATATAAATGAACTAAAATTAAAAAGCATACAAGACTAACAAAGGCCAGAGGCTCCTGACTTGGGACAGGCGCAAAAAAATGCGGCGGGGTTAAACATGTTTTGTGAGATCTCAACCCTCCCATAAACCTCTAGCCAATGTAGAATAAAGAAACACATAGCAATACGCACAGTAAAACTCAGTTTAAAAGAAGTCCAAGTATATATACTTTTAAAGCTAGAATATTAAAAAAAATGAAATGTAATTTTTAGACCACTAGCAATGGCAGCTAGCTAGTCATTAAATTAATAGAATTTCGATTTTGTGAATATATTTCATGTGTCTTTAATTATTATGAACATTATCAATCTAGACTGATTGTTATGTCCTGCCTATGATAGTAGAGGCTGACATTATGTTTTTTTGGTCTGTGCATCAGTCTGTCTGTTCATTCGTTTGTTCATCTGTCTGTTTGTTTGTTTGTCCTTCTGTCTGTCTGTCCATCCAGATTCAGTTTTAATGACATTGAATTTTCAAGATTTTGAAGCTTAGTACATATGTTCCTAATGATGTGTTCTTCCTTAAATGTATGCCAAATAAGGGTTTTGACCCAAATGTTTTGGCTCCCTTATCATAAAAATAAAAAATGAAATTGCAACCAGGCATCAGTGTACTGTGGACATATTTTTCTTGTTATATGGCATTTGCAAAAGTGTTTCAAGGTGAGTTATCTGTTGAGTTTTTTATGTATGATTAGACAACCAATCCAGAATATATATAACTTAAAGCATATTTTTCTTAGGAAACAACAACAGATGGTAATAGTCAAACAGAGAGTGAAAGTATGTGCTTTGAGACAGGTGACAGTCAATATTCGGAGGCATCAGTTTGTATGATGGACAAATTACAGAGGCTGAATTCTTTCCTGGCAACATCAGATGTATCACCTGTGAAGGAAAAATTGATTCCATTATTAGAATCTACACATAAAACCAAGCAGAGATGCGTGTCAAAAGCACTGCAGTGTATGTCAGTAATATGTGAAACCATCTGCCCTGGAGAGGGAGACACTTTGAAAGATTTGATGTTTAAGTCTGTATTTTCGGCACATAAACCTGAAAAGTCCTCTACACTTGATGAAACAGCACTAATACTAAAGGACACATATAATTCTGCAGAAACATGGACATTAAGAAGACAAATTCTATCAGTCTTATCCAGAAATTACAGCTTTGATGAGGTCAGAGAGGTATGCTGCATCTTTTTTGCAAGTAATTTATGTCATTTAAAGCCAAAATATTTATTACATGGAATTTATTTTAATATATAGCATTAGAATGGAGATAAATGTATTGTATTTTAAGCTTGGCCTTCGTAAAACTTAATTTTACTGTCGCAAATATCCGTTTACCTAGCTCCTCTACACGTTGCTAGGCAAACTCAATTTGCAACAGTAAAATCTACATTTTACGAATGCCAAGCTTAGGATACAATACAGTTAAGCCTCTAGCCTATGTTGGTCTTGTGTTATTTTTGGTTTTGGTTTCTTGTGTGCAGTTTGGTGTTTGGTGTGGCGTTCATTGTCACTGAACTGGTGTATATATTTGTTTGGGGGCCGGCTGGGGGGCGCCTCCGGTTGCGGGAGTTTCTTGCTGCGTTGAAGACCTGTTGGTGACCTTCTGCTGTTGTCTGTTCTATGGTCGGGTTGTTGTCTCTTTGACACATTCCCCATTTCCATTCTCAATTTTAATAGTTATTACCAAATTTTTCAGATATTTTTTTATTGATAATATTTTTGTTGCTTTTATATCTATTTAATATTTTTTTTTTTTTAGATGATACCGGATCTGACAAAGTACAGATTTTATGCTGCCAAACAGCACAGTGATGAAGTAGGTTGTGGCCTCCCAGTGTCCAGAGAAAAACTAACAAGAAACAAGATAGACGTAGCAGAGTTGGAACACTTCATAGATTTCATCGTCAGCTCAGATGTTGTAAAAGATCTGCCTTTTGGTATGAAGACTATGAAGCTAACATCTGGAGAAATAGTCAATGTTCCAAATTTGATACGAAGCCTTGCACCGTCATCCCTTGTTAACCAGTACATCCAGTTCTGTGATTCCGAAAATGTTGGTCATTTAGGTAAGATTATCAAGATAAATAAACACTTTTAAACATACAATTTATTTTGATTTGAGCGTCACTGATGAGTCTTGTACAGATAAAACTCGCATCTGGCGTAGGAAAAATTATAAGCCTGGTACCCTTGATAAGTATTTAACACAGATACAGCTGTTAAATAATTAAAAATAAAGGGCTGAAAAGAAATTGACAGTCATAGAAAAGTAAATTGCATATGCATGTAACTAGTACTCTAGTATTGGTGGCTACAAGAAACATGGGGAAACCTTGACAGCTAATGTGTGCTGATTTGAAAAAGATAATATAGATTTTTCACAGAAAATAATGATGTCGCAGTCATTAATATATGATTTTATTCATAATAACATTAAAAAAATTGGTGTGTTATCAAATTGAAATTTATATGTGTATATCAATTAAAAGTGTACATGACTAATTTGTAATTGTAGGAAGAAGTACAATGTATAAGATACTTAATGACTGTGCTGCTTCCGTTAGAAAATGTGTTGAGGGACTTGATTATTACGTTGCAGAGGGTGGAAAGGCATTTCAAGATCTTGAGATAATCATAGAAAAACTTAGTGCATCAAGTGAAAAGAAGAAAGAATTGAAGTCAAAATTGCTGAATGGGAAGAGATACATAAAGTCAGATTTTAAGGTATTTGAAAACACATTGAATGTCTAAATTATGTTATTGGAAACGTTATAATTAAACAAATTGTCTGTGACATTTTAGCTTAAGTGAACTACAGTGTGAGCTAGCTGTAATTGTCACCCCTCACTGTCTATATATTGATACCATAAGGCACATTTGAACCAATGTTGGATGGAATTACTTCTTTGAAAAATAAAAAAATATCCAAGTTCACTTCAACTGGTAGGATTGAAAATAACTAGGACTTTTAACCAATGCATTGTTCAGTTGAGCAATAGAGACTCCTGTTTTCGCTATTGATGATCTATGTGTTTAATAATTTAACCCATATGTTACTCAGTAATTTACATGTGATCTCTTTATTTTTTTGGATGTATCAATGATATAGATACTAAATTAAACATCACAAGATTTATAAATGTCATGTAAAGTTGTGTATTTTTATATAGTTATTGTTGCTTTATGAGACAAATTATTATTTTTCAAACAAGTACATGTATTCAGGATAATTTATTATTATCTCAATTCCTAATATGCATTTATTTCATTTATGTTAACTGCTCATCATTTTTCAAATGATGATCTATTTGTATGTTGTGCATGGGACAACAGATTTATGATGATTTTGTTTATCCTTTTTCTTTCTTCAGTTTGTGACAAATCTTTCTAACGGTTTAGATTTTTTTTTATCAAAAGGTACATATCCAAAAAGAGAATGCTGTTCCAGATCATTGCCAAATATTTGCTCTAAGTGATAGTGAAAAGTGCTTCTCCCAAAGTTGTAACACCCAGCATAAACACAGTTGTGTACAGTGTATTGACTTGGCAGATTTGTTAGCTGAAATAAGTACTCTAACACAGGATGGTACATGGGACAATAAAGATTCCATTGTATTCCAGGTAATTTTTATCAATTAATTTCCACTTCATTGATTAAATGGAGAAGTATACTAAGAAATTTTTATTTGTCTTAGCAAATTATTCAATACTTTGGCCAAAACAAATACATTTTAGTACAAACAATAATTTAAAAACTCCTTTTTCTCCAAATAGCCATCATAAAATGCGGTTACCTCCCTTGATAGACACGAAAAGAATATATGACCAGTGGAATTGCCCTGACATCAATAGTATACATGTATGTAAGGGCTTAGGTTGTTGAATTGTATTAAAAGAGGAAGACTGTGTGTAAATTAAGTATTAACCACTTTTCTTTATACCATAATTAAATTTTCAGGTTGAAAATGCTGTAGAAGCTATAAAAGATTGGAAAAGTCATGCTATGAGAGCTAGGAATCAAGAAGGTGCAAGGCTAGATCTATTAAAGAATTTAAATGAAAATCAAGCACTTATCACATGTGACTGGGCAATGAAATTTCTACCACGCAAATTTAGAGAAGGACAGAGTGACTGGTTTGCCAAACGTGGAATCAACTGGCACATTTCAGTAACTTTGTACAAACAAGGGGAAGAACTAAAGACAATAACACATGTACACATTTTTTCATCCCAGGTAATAAAAAGATATTGCTAGGTTTTTTGTAAAGAACAAAACTATTAAGGGATATAATTATCTATTATTTCAAGTTTTCAGCTTTTGAAAAAGAATTCCTTCAGATATTTTATTAACTTTCAGAAATCTTTTGATAATTGGAAAATATTCATTGCATATAAGTTAGGCTAATAGATATTTAATTTCAATATCAAAACTTTCAAATAAATTTTGTAATCTATTTTAATTTCTGTAAATTCAAAAATTATTGCAAAAATGTGACCGGGTTATTTTATCACAATAATTCATAATAAAAGCAGGCAATTACTTTCTGAATTTACAATAAATTATTTTTGCTGCAATCAATTATAAACCCTGATTTCCCTTTTCTTTATTTCTGTATCAAAGTTGCATTCTTTTAACTTATTTAAAATACCAAATTTGAACCACTGTACAACACAGATTAAGTTTGATTCAAATGGCTTGTTACAAGTAATATAACATTGTCATGATCTATTTTAGATATCTCAAGATGGTTCTGTTACTGCTTCTGTGTTGTGTGATGTAGTCCATGATCTGACAAAACAAGTACCAAACATACAGGAGGTGAACTTCTTCTCAGATAATGCAGGATGCTACAAGAACACAATGATGATGGTAGCCCTTAGAGCTGAACTGGGGGATAAGTTGAAAACGTACAACTTCAGTGAAGCACAGGATGGCAAAGGTAAATTGTCATAGTTTGCAACTCAGTTATTCAAAAGAAAAATCTTTCAAGTCAGCTTTTGATTGAAGGATTTTTGTGTTTTTTGTTGTCCTCAGATGGGAAAAGAATAATCAAAATTTAATTTTTGTAACCTGCAAATGAATTTTGTACTGTCCAAATGGTATACATGTACAATGGCAATTATTTTAAAGCAATTTTAAAGGTCTTGCCCTCTGTTTCTGATATTTGGATCATTGCATTTGTATAGAAAGGCTAGTATGCAGAAAAACTCTTTTTTTTTTAGTAGTTTCTCACATACACAATAAATGTATATAAATATTGATATTGCAACCATTGAATTCTATGTAGTGACAGTTTACACATTTTTGCAGGTCCATGTGACCGCAGGGCTTCACATATCAAGGCATATGTTAGAAGATACATTAATGAGGGTCATGATGTCACATCTGCAGAGGAGATGAAACAGGTAAGTCTGAATAAAAGAGTATTTTAAAAAATTCAGTAAATGACAATTTATATGCAAAGCTAAAGAGTAAGAAGTATATCAATTACAAAAAAATATAATGTGTTGTGATTGTATTGTCAATGAGACAACTCTCCACCAGAGATATATAAGCAACTAAAATCACTGTATGACCTTCAAAATAGAGCTAAAGCCATTAAGGTATTGCATGCTTTAACACGGCTGAAGCTAGTACAAAAACATTTTATAAACACCTTAAGAAAACTTACAACCTACCCAAACAAAAAAAATTGAGGAACAAATCATGGTTACAAATGATAACCAAATCGTATGATTTCTTTATGATTTGAAAGTGATAAAATTTCACATGCAAATGAGCTAACAAATCACAACAACAAATCACGAACAAATTGCTTCCAATTCATAAGCAAATCACAAACAAATTGTCAAGAAATTGTTTTGAAATCATTAACAAATCAGAGATCATTGCTTTCCTACTTCAAGCAAATCACAAACAAATTGTTTTCAAATTGCAAAGAAATTGTTATCAAATCTTTAACAAATCAGAAGTAAATCATATTCCTACCTCAAGCAAATCACAAACAAATTGTTTTCAAATTATGAAGAAATTATAAACAAATCGTTATCAGATCTTTAACAAATCACAAGTAAATCATATATTTCTACCTCAAGCAAATCACAAGCAAATCGTCAATAAATCTGCATCAATCATCAATTCACAGATTAAATCATTTACATCCAGATCAAAAATATTTTCTGCCCCTGACTACCGCCAAACTTTGAAGTGCATTTGCCTTCATTTTACCTTAGCTACTCCTCTAATTGTAAAAAGGAATACTATCTTTGGTTGCAATGAGGGACGAATCGTTCCCTCTGTTTAGGTTTCTCTTACTTCTCATCCGAATTTGACTCTAACGAGATTTGACAAAACTTGGGCAACCACGTGTACTAAAAGGATGCATGTCGAATATATATAGGTGATGAGTCTTAGTCTTGGTCCAAATTTGCTAATGTAGCTTTGCCCCTACTGCCCGGGATCTGGCCAGTAAACATGAAAAATTAAAACATGAAACTTGCCAGTGAATTTTGTCTGCTGGCTCGGGAAGCTTGTCTTTAATTGCATGTCTCGATCTGTTTACACATCTTTTACACATTTTTATTTTGAAAATTAATCCTGGCAGTACAAAATTAAATCGAGATTCTTAAATGCACAGTTTCTGAATTTAAAAATTTTACATCTTTTACATGTTAAATAGTATTAATTGAATGTGTGAAATTATAAATAAATAACTGAGATTCCTTACCACTCTCATCATTGATAGTACAACTCCTCATCTTGCAACCTTCTTTGTTCAGTTAATATAGAACAGTATTTGAAATTTGAATTTGATCTCAACCGGAAGTCAGAGAGATAGATAAACAAAGAAAATTCGAATGCATTTACATTTTATTCATTGTAGCAAATCATCAATGAATCACATCATGATAGCTAACAAAGTTAACAAATCATTTTCAAATCATTTCATATGATATTCTAAGTAAACAAATCATAACGAAATCACATCATTTTAGCTAACAAAGTTAACAAATCTCTTTCAAATCACTTCATACAATATTCTAAGTAAACAAATCATAAAGAAATCACGCAAAAACAGAAACAAATTGCTTACAAATCATACAATTGAAAGAAATCACAAAGAAATCAGTTTTAGGGAATTTGGCAAATTCTGATTTGTTTATAATTTGTTTAATGAATCACAAGCAAATGGTACTAACAAATCGCAGAATCACGATTTGAAAGAGATTTGAATACGATTTGAAAGCAATTTGTTCATTTATTTTTCTGTTTGGGTAATTAATGCACAACACCAAAAAATAGCAAAATAACAATGCATCTGACTTGGAACAGGCAAAAATAGTATGTAGCAAGGTTTAACATTGCTTGCTAGTGCGAGTTCATCCCTAAACCTGTTACAGCTCGTATATAACACAGCTCATCAAAAGTGTGTACACTACAGTAAAATTCAATTAAAAAGGACATACCTCATCAGAACAACATAATGAACAACAAACAATACACTAAGGACACAAAGTATCATTTGAGATTTGGTATGCATTAATTTTAGCCAAGACTTTATTCATAGTTATATGATAAGAGAATTGGTATTCATTTGGCAAACCCAAGAAGTTATGCACAGTTATAAGCATAGCAATTCTATTTTTCATTTCTGTTTTTTTTACAGGCTATAGAGGTTAAACAGAAAGGATCATTCAGGGTTAGAGTCGTTGACATTGTAACTAATTTGGATGCAGAGAAGTCAAAGATAAAACCAATAACTGGAATTACACAATTGCATAATTTTTCATTTGATGTCAATGGAATAACAGTTTGGAAGGCATATGGAATAGGAGAAGGTATTAACCAGAATTATGAATCAGAACTATGAAACTAACAAGTGGAGTTTTAGGTCCCAATGGATATTATCTGCTTGTTTACCATGGTTAACATGGTTAAGGTGTACGTTTAGTTAATTGTACTTTTTCATGCTTAAACACAATATAGTGGTGAAACTTCATCAGTTTACTGCTTGGACCTCGGTGGCCAGTTGGTCTAGGTTGCTACTGTAATCACTAGCCAGTCATCACTAAGGTTGTGAGTTCATACCCCGATCATACAGGACTGCATTAGACACCAATCTATTGAATAGGATCGTCAGTTTTCCTATCGAAGGTCAGTGGTATTTTCAGGGCACCCCTGCTTCTTCCATCAATTAAACCTGGTCACCCCAAAATAGCCCTAAAGTGGTGCTTAAGAGTGGCGTTAAAATACCAACAATCAAAAATTAAATCAAAATCAGTATACTGCTCCTGTATGCATGTCAATTTCTTCAATACCAAAACAACATTAGGTTATGAAACTTATCAGTGTAAGCAATTTGATCTATTTTTTATACTTTTAAAGTAATGTCAACTAAAGTGGTTACTTTGTTTTCATCTTGATAACTATGGAGCAACTGTTCAAATATAAATTGTCTTTCATGAGTGATTTTCACAAATTTTGTCACAGTATTTCTGTAACTGAAGTTTGAACTAGTTCTTGCAAAACAATGAGATTGTAACAATTTGACAATAGGAAATTGTGACTAATTAGTATATAATTTTTTGAAGGAAAGCGAATATCATGGGACAACATTGGAACCACAGAGCAAAGAACCAATCTGTTGGTTAAAGTTGATTGGACAATTGCAGCTCCTCAGTTGTTGGAAATAGAAGGTAATGCAAGTTTTAATAAAATGCTTACGTTTTATTGTAAATACTTGTATTGGGGAAATGTTATTGTGTTTATTGCCCTTATTTCTGTTGTTTCGTTGTTTTCCTTTTATAGTTGATGTGTTTCCTTTCGGCTTTGGTTTGTAACCCGGATTTGTTTTTGTCTCAATCCATTTATGACTTTTGAACAGCGGTATACTACTGTTGCCTTTATTTAGGGTGATTTTCTCATTATATAATGCGATTTTAAAAATACTCTTTAATAATAATACATATTTGGGATTTGTCAATTGATTTAACATAACACAGGCCGATAGTTTTACCGTTTGAATTGTTTCATAGTTTGTCAGGTCAGGGCCTTTAATGACAGACGTATGGTGGCATATCATTGATTACACCCAGGTCATTGGACTCTTGTAGATATCTTTAACATTAGCTATCATACCAGATTTTCTTATTTCTACAAAGAATTATTCAGCTTATCGACATTGACTGCTTACATGTGAAATAAATATAATACTTATATTATATATTATATTATAACAATAGTCAAGGATTTTTTACTATGAAACCAAACATGTACATGATGTACACATTTACATAATATTGTATGCAACAATACGTTTCATGTATGCATGTTGTTTCACACCTTAAAGAACGGCAATTTTGCGAGAGTCTTGTCGTATTCTGATACTTTCACCAATATACAGTTCAATAATTTTGTTGTAATACCGTTATGAAGGTTTTACACTGCATATGTCTATGATTTATGAGTTCGAATACCCTTTTGGTATATTGTATCTTTCTCTTACTAAAAGGTCACATGATCTAAGAATTGGGTATCTCTATTCTTTGGTGTAAATGAGTCATTGTGATATGAATTAACTTGTGTCATAAAACATATGGGTTGTTGTGGTATGGAAAATCAAATGTTCGATAACTAGCAACTAATGATTACATGTTTTGTTGAAAAAGATAGACGAAAGATACCAGAATGACATTCAAACTCATAAGTCGAATTTAACAATCTAGTTAAACAATAATAAATAGGGAAGCAAATTTTAGGAATATACTATTCTCCCCCAAAAAGAAAAGCAACATGTGAAAAATACACTTATATGCTCAACACCATTGTCAAGAGATTATTTATCAATTATGGACTTTTCACGAGGTCAATACGTTATATATGGACCTGTTTAGATTATATTGACCGAGGACGAAGTCCGAGTGTCTATATAATCTAACGTATTGAATGAGTGAAAGTCCTTAATTTCTATATTACATATGTAAATAAAGTATTAGGAAAATGGCGTTCAATATTCTTTCTGTGTATTTTTAAGGTGTATTTTGCAAGAATTTTAATATGTTATTGAAAATATCAATATTTTTTTTAACAACTTCATAGCTTGTTGCATTAGCTTTCTTGTATTCCTAGCGTCTGCATTTAACATAAAATTCTTGAAATATCCTGATAAACTTTTTGTTTGTCTGCTGCGGCGCTTCCTCTATGGTTGTTATCTGTGACGTCATGACGTCATAAATCTAAATTTAGCAAGATTTTTTTATGCTAACCACCAATATACATATAAATAGAAACATAACGTCAATATACTTAAAAATAGGAATATGGCTACGGATACGTAAAATAACCTTTGAAACACGTGATTGTAATATCCAATGAAAACAGTAGAATGCTACACCATATGTAGTATTAACAAATATATAGGCATCATATTACACTGAAACTTAGCAAAATAGTTGTTCAGACTTTCATGTTCGATAAAACGTCAAAATTTACGACTGTAAAATCCATAGCATTTAGATGACGTCACTATAAAGTCAAAATGTGTTTTACACACCATAATCCTGTAACACAAGACGGACCCGTGTCGGCAAGTACGCAATCAAACGACGCATATATGTATAAATGTTCAAGAGTACAATCTGCGGCGCTGGATGACGACTGTGCACGTGTTTATTATTTTGGTTTCTTCAAATCATCCCATAAATGGCCTATTGAGTTCAAATCTTTCGAAAATGAACGGCCAGGGAGCCCCGGTTACGTTTTCGTTGGCTAGAGGATATACAGTAGCACGAGCTGTGTGCGACCGTGTATTGTCGCGCTTAAGGTTCATTTTGGGCAGTGTTTGTGGTATCAAAAGCTCATACATATACTAGTATTGATCTTTCCGCTAAAATTGTCCACATCAAGGACCTTAGGACACAGTTCCTTGTGGAACCACTAATAGCGGCGTCGTTTGACGCTTGTACGGCCATATCGCCTCATAATGAGAATGAATGTTGATGCATCGCTTAGCCAGATTATATTGCGGTTTACCAGACCCTTAATCTGCTACACTTTCTGCCCTTTGCAATTCAATGTAGGCGTCTCAGTACTGTGCCATTGTAAAGACGTTTGATCGCTTAAGCGGTTTTCAAAGATATGGTTTCAGAATGTCTATGCCGTTATTCGACAGGAGACCTGGGTCAAATGATGCTGTATCTGATGCTCTAACGGTCAGGTTTCATAACTGAGTACCCGGATGTAGGCATCCTAGGTAGGCCAAAACTGTGACGGTCAATAGTTGAACCGAATTGCTTGTACCGTTGCAATAGTCCGGAAGACTTTCACGAGAACATTATTAAGTCTAGCAAGCATTTTCTTATTCATCGACCTGACAACAAATAGTTATCAAAGGTACCAGGCTTATAATTTGATACGCCAGGCGCGCGTTTCGTCTGCATAAGACTCATTAGTGACGCTCAGATCAAAATAGTTAGAAAGCCAAATATGTATAAAGTTGAAGAGGATTGAGAACCCAAAATGCCAAAAATTGTGCCAAGTACGGCTAAGGTAATCTATACCTGGGATAAGAAAATCCTTAGTATTTCGAATAATTCATACTTTTGCAAACAGCTCATTTATAAAAATGACCATATACTTCATATTCATGTCAACACCGAAGTACTTTCTACAAACAATGGCGATGTCGACGTAGCTTTGTCTATTTTAGGCATATATCAGCATGATCAGCAGATTAGGGAAACAATTTTTAACTGAATTTGATTCAACGGTTTGGTATTTCTTATACTCATTCAACAGGCTTGTAGATGGATAACACATGGATAAGACATGATTTGCACGTTCAACTTTCTTAATTATTCCCGTATGCCTTGCTCATGTAGCTGTACACATGCTTTCCAGAAAAGGTCACGTGTGATCAACATCCACTATACTGACTTTAAACATGTCAACAATTAAACTACAGGATTTGAAATTAAAACATGATATAGTTTTCATGTCTCTATCACGCAAGTTTTTGAGAAAATTCAAATTTTGATTTTTGATTAAGCGTAAACTAAAATGGCAAAAATGCAAATCCTGTTCGTTGCAAAAAAAAAAATTAATCATGGCCCTTGATGTAAATGTCCATAATAAAACTTACCGTAATCAGCTGAGCAGAATTGAACTTGAGGGTGGTCCCCACCAGAACAATAACAACTTTGTACACAAGTTTTCATCCATGATAGAACAATTATTAGTTGTAGTACTTTCTTAATCATTCTAACTGATTGTTTCTCAATTGATTCAATATATAGCATATATAAGGAAAATTGAATTTTTATATCTTTCAATATTTGAAATAAATCAGAGGAAAATATATCGGATAATTGGCACAGAAGACGGTCGAATATAAATGTTATCTGTTTCTAAACAAAACGTAGGCTTTTAAAAAGTAATCTATTTCACGATTAAAATCGACCTTTGCTTATACAGCACGATCATACGTAAATAAATGACAAACACGTTTTACGATAATAATCCTCCACCAACCTCGTGTCACTTAATCAGATTTTAATGTAATATGTGAAAATATATTAAGTCTAATATAATGTTGGAAGATTTGTTCACTAGAGAGCAATATTTAAAGAACGATTTTTAACATGATATATATATATATATCATGTACTGTGTTACAACTTTAGATTATACTGTCGAGGAAAGGTAACACTAGGCCACAAGAAGCTGAATTTCGTAGTTCAGTCTAAATTGTAGGTGGAAGAGTGGTGTAGAGCGCTACACACAGTGCAGGCGGTGTTGTCTCGATATCCCAATAGCATGAGTTCAAATTCCGGCTAGGGAAGAACACAAATTTGCAGATTTAACATTGTTGCGTGGAAATAAATCTTAAATTCATTGCATATGTAAAATTGAGAATCGTTCAACATTACCAATGACTTATTTCCTAAGCATGCTAATGGTTTGCATTTCTTTATGCTGATGTTTACTTAACATGTTGCTATAATTTAACTATGTATTCCTGATGTGTACGTATTTACTTTTAATTCAGGCAGAGTTGCTCATTTGTTATTTTCTACAGGCTGATTTTTTTGACAATGTCAATTTTCCTATTTGTGTTTGATACTGTAATGTGGTTCTCGATTTTTCGTTTCATTAATACTTTTTCGCTTTTCGTGTTTTTGAAGATTTCGCAGCTCTGTTATGTGATGATTTATTATACGTCAGTTATGATTTTCTATGACGTCGCGTAAAGTAAACGACATTATGGTTGTGTTTCAGCTTGTTTAAATTTCGATTAATGATTTAGCCCCGACATTAATTGTCTGTTGTCTCTTTCGGTATGATAAAACACTTACTGACTGGATATTCGTGGAATAGTAAGTTGATTGTCCCCTCGGATACAACTTTTGCCCTCGGCTACCTCTCAGAGCAATAGTTGGACCTCGGGGACAATAAACTTAATATTCCACTTATACCCAGTCAATAAGTATAAAATATTACTAATAACCCAAGACATATTCTTACACATTCAAGTCATGTCAAGTTAATGACCGTACAAGTAGTTGTTTATGTAAACGTGAATATACCAGATATTTAAAGTAAATTACAGCAAACATTGATTAATCTAACTCAAAGGCGTAAACTTCTACGTGTCTATCACCTGGATTATAAGTTATGAAAATATTTTCCCTTCTAAGATATATCAATATTTTAAGATATTCGTATACGTATAAAGTTAGAATTAAATAGTAGCGAACTAATATTTACCTGCTCATAAATGTATTGAATACTGTTTAGTTTAGTATTGATATTTTTTAGTTACATGCATTCAATTTTCATACTTCACATTATATAATCTAAACAACATCATTTTAACTACCACATGTAACAAAGAAGCCATGTATAATAATGATTTATAAAAACGTATTGTTATATGACTGTCATACAAGTGAGAGGTTGATATAGCAATAAATAAAGGCAACAGAAGTATAGCGCTGTTAAAAAAAAGTCATAAATCGATAAAGAGAAAACAAATGCGGGATACAAACTAAAACCGAGGGAAACACATCAGCTATAGGAGGAAAATAACAGAACAACAGAAATACTGAACTGCAACAAAAACAAACGTCAACATACATCATGTACATAGAAACGGACTAGAAACCAGGTTTAGTTCCCATTTGTTTGTTACCTAAGAACATGCCTGTACCAAGTCAGGAATATGACAGTTGTTTTCCATTGTTTGTTGTTTTTGGGCTTTATTTT